GTTCTCGGAATTGGACTTGAGAGATCTGAGACAGAAAGGTGGTCGTATGGATGTATGGGCTTGAGGTACCGACCCTGTTTGATTGAAGTAAATATTTGCAGAACTGTGAAGCGAAGCTCAGAGCAAAGAAGTTGCCATTTTAAATTCTGGTCATATAGCTATGCAAAACCTTCAATCATCTTTCTTGTCGAACGGGCAGTGCTGAAATCAGGGTCTGCGTGGCAAGAGAAAACGTTGAAAGTAAGGATGAATTAGGCGCGGATGAGATGGAGTGACAAGTCTTTTGAGGTGAAGTGGAAAATATGAAGGTGAAGCTGGAGCTTTACCTGTGCAACCAAGCTCTTCTCATGTCCCTTTCGGGTAGGCGTGGGAAACGCGGCTGCTTTTTCGCCTGCCTGAATGAGAAAGTTCGAACATCAGTTGACCGAGGCTTCACACTGCGCTTGCCTGTAAGTTTGTAAAACCAGACTCATGGTGATCAACTACCTCAGAGCTAAGACAGATCAACTAATAGCAATCACCAATGCTTCCTTGCCTCGGGCGTCACAGGAAATTCTTCACCGCGTTCGCCACCCCGTCTAGGTCCTCGAAACAGTGCCAATGCCCGACTTCCTTCAGCACCTCCACCTTGGCGTTCGGCATCCTATTTTCCATCTTCCGCGCCCACTCCAGACTCGATATCTTATCCTCATCCCCCGCAACTATCAACGTCGGCACCGCTATCTTCTCAATGTCAAGCGCCGTTCCTGCCGTGCCGGCGAGGGCCATACATCCTTTCGCGTATCCTTCTGGATCTTGCGATAGCAAAGATGCTCGCACCGCGCCTAGCGCCAACGGCTTTGAGTCCTTGGTTTTGGCAGATGTGGCTGCGTTCGCTACAGTCTCGGCAACGCCAGATGCTTTCATGCCTTTGTCTCGCACCGCGGCAGCACGCTTGTAGGTTGCTTCGCTCGCTGCGGCGGGGAGGGGAGACGGTCCGGGACCGACGAGGATAAGCTTTTTCACGAGAGAAGGGTGCTTGAGGGCGAAGTTCATGGCTATCAAGCCGCCCATTGAGTGCGAGATTAGGGTTGCGGATTTGATGTTGAGTTCTGGGCTTGCAAATATGCCGGCTAGATCGTCGACTAAGCTGTCCATGGTCACGGGTGAAGATGCTTTGGTGGGTGTAAGGCCGTGGCCTTCGAGGTCGTAAAGGATGTTTTTGTGGGATTCTTTGAGGTGCGCTGCATCGATGAGAGGTCGGTAAAACTCCATAGTGCCGCCGAGGCCGTGGACGTAGATAACGGGGTCCGTGCCAGTGCCGATTTCGACAACGTTTATCAATTTATCATTGATCTTTGTGAGTCCACCGCCGCCACAGCTGACGTCGAGATTGTACATTGGAATGCTGGAGACTTGAGCTATGGTGTCGATTGTCTTGTTGGAGATGCTGGCGTCAGCGATGCGATTGGTGAGTTTACCGAGACCGGTGACTGTTACATCAACTGTATCGCCGGCCTTGAGGAATGTTGGGGGATCTTGGCCGAAGCCTACACCAGCTGGCGTTCCTGTTGCTAGTACATCCCCAGGTTGAAGAGTGATACCTTCGGAGAGGGTCTTCACCAATTGCGCGACGGAGAAGATGAGATCCTCCGTCGTGCCATCTTGACGTTTCTCCCCGTTCACGTAAGTCTGGACCCTTAGGATCTTTGGTAACTGGGCAGCAGGTACTGCTATAGGACCCATCGGACAAAACGTATCAGCAGATTTGCCAAGGTAGAACTGCTTGTGATCTCGTTGCTTCTCACGAGCCGTCACGTCGTTGATGATTGTGTACCCCCAGACGTGATCCATTGCGTTCTTCTCGTCGATTGCAAATCCAGGCTTGCCAATGATGACTCCTATTTCACCCTCGTAGTCCAGAGTCTGGGTGAAATCTGGATGTGGGTAGATGTCGTGTTCCGAAGGCACTATACTAGTAGATCGCTTGGTGAAGATGACGGGATGGGACGGCTTGTCGACTTTGTCGCTGGCATCGTAACCACTCTTGTTGAACTCTAAGGCATGCGCAGCATAGTTTTTGCCAACACAAAGGATGTCTCGACCGCTGACGGGTGGTAACAATTTCACTGAATCCAGAGCAACAGCTTCGCCTGCAGGGACCACATCGTTCCCCAGCTCAATGACCTGGTACAGATTGCTGACTGGCGCACCTGATGCCATGGCCATTGGATTTATCCTACACTCGTCCAGATTGAGATGACCAATCCTGGCTCGGCCCTGGCTATCCTCGTAGGCCACAAAATTAGTCATTGGCGCAATCGTTGGAGGCATTATCTCGGGTCCTAGGCCTGTCTTCACAAATTCTTTATGTGATGCTTTGTGAATTCTGCCATTGATCATAATCACGTTCAGCTTGTCGTGCTCTTGAAGAACGGCAATATCTTTCAATGGATCGCCGTCAACCAAAATGACGTCAGCAAAGTAGCCAGGTTTGACCTTGCCCAACTCGTCTTCACGCATGAACAGTTTTGCCACCCCAGCTGTGGCCGCGATGATGGACTCCATGGCTGTGAAATCCAGGAGCTTGACAAAGTGCTCCAAGTCGCGAGCGTAAGTGCCGTGAGGAGTCCAGGCGAAGCCATAATCACCACCACTGCTGACATTCAGCCAATCATCCACAGCCTGATTGTGAGAGGAAGACTTACGGCAACACGGTAATGCCCCTCTCATGCATCTCTTTGAGGCCCCTAATTGCCGTCTGCAATTCTTTCATGTATCCCACCTGCTCCGCCTTCTCGAAAGAGTAGCCGAAAGGAGCAGCCTCATATACCGTCGCCCATAGCCAATTGATTCCCGGTGCCACCACGTGCTTGTGTTTGTTCTTTTCCAGCATCTCCATGCCCTCGTCATCTATATAGCTGGCGTGATATATCACGTCCACTCCGTGCTTCACGCATTGCTTGATCGAGTCTCGAGCACGGGCGTGGGAACACAGTCTGAGGCCTAGACGATGGGCCTCATCGACACAGGCGGCAGTTTCTGCGTCGCTGTAGTATGAGTCATGGGCTGAGCGTGATTCTGTGATCTTAGATCCATGTAAGCGCCGAACGGCATACGCGGCTATGGCAAGCCCTGAGATACACTTACCTCTTCACCAGACATGCTAAGCTTGACCTGATCTACTCCAATATCCTTGTGGTGTCTAATCACTTCCCTCATCTCAAGCGGCCCATCAGCGAAAGTCGTGATTCCAGCCGCGAGTTCCCCGTTCCGAACAGCCATCTCTTTTCCATTGGCAAGATACCTGGGCCCGGGAATATCCCCTGCGTTGATAAAGTCTCTTATGACGCAGTCCAATCGGTCCTTGGCTGACGCCGCGCCAAAGCACATGGTGTAGCCAGAATCGAGGTAGCATTGTGCAGACCGCGCTGTCATGAGCGTATGCTCTTCCACACCGACATCGCCAAGCTTGTCTAGAGCACCGTTGTTCCACGTGAAGTGCGTATGCGCGTCTCCCAAGCCAGACATAAGTGTACGCCCACGGCCATTGATGACCCGCACCTTTGAGTCCTTCCGGAGCTCTTCGACCCTGGGAACAGTGCCAACAAAGACGATTCGTTCTCCCTCAATGTAGACGTCTCCATGGTAGGGATCTGCTCCTGTCGAGTCGAGGATGTTTACTTCGAGAAACAGCACTTTCGAGTCGGGCCGAGTGCCTTCCATGAGATACGTCTTTGGCTTGAGCTTTGGGTCAAATCGCAGGTCGTCTTGAGGGTTGAGTTTCCTCCCAGAGGAGCGGTGGCTGCTGAGACCATTGCTGGTATCCGTACCGCCGTTGACGAGTATGCCCGGCGCCATCTTGCTGATTTGGAGATTGTATTCAAGCTCGAGGAACAAACTAGCTAGACGAAGAGTTGAATATCAAAAAAAACCGACAGTGATTAAGCAGGATTCCAGGACAAGAGGCGCCTTCGACGGCAAGATGACCCTCTTCCACCTCGCACTTAGTCGTTCCGGTGCCCATTACGCTCATTGCTATAACCCCGCACACCACGAACACCTTCCGAGATCAAAGCACTCGGCAGCACGGCCTTGAGAGGGGTTGCCGATCGGGCGATCTCCGTAACACGCTAAGCGTCGGTTTTTCTCCGCTGCGGGGTTTGTGGGGAGATTCCGACGAAAAGTCCGGGGTACCCAGAATAACTTTCAGATGCTGTGAAAATGCCATGCTTCGCGTACGACTGAGTACCTCATACTCGATATCTTCAAATCGTTCCGCTGCTCAATCAGCCACGCCGCTAACTTCGAACCCTTCGCTTTCAGGCTATGGGATGGATGACGCTTGGCTCCCAGCAGCCACCTCGGACAGACTACGAACAGTTTTTGAGGAGAGACGACGCTGTCAAGGCCGGTGGAGTCGCTCAAGTTGAAGACGTAGAGTATCCAATTTGCTCCAAAGACATTCAAAATGTAGACTTGCCCATCATACCGGCAGAGACGGTGAAGTTGAGAGACGGAAAGAAAGGCTCCAGACTATGTGTGTCCTCCGCGAGTCATGTTGATATCTGAATGTATGTTGACTGATCAAGGGATCGTGATAGACGAGATTGTCTATGACTGCTCGGATTTCACGAGGGTGCATCCTGGCGGTGACAATGTCATTCAAAGCTTCGGTGGCCAAAATTGTTCTTGGCAGTTCTGGCGCATACACAGCCGCAAGCACCTGGTTGAATCTGGCACTGCGTTAAGAGTGGGCAAGACCAAAGGCATCGCAAACCGCTTCAAGGAGCCAAAGAAGTATATCGGACTGCGTACTTTGGACAATGACGAGTGGTAAGAGAAGGCTTCGCGGTTAGAGTAGTAGTCGCGGTTAGAGTAGTGGCATCTTTGTGCATGTGTTTCTGAAAACGTTGGATCATCTGTGTGTCGCCACAATATCTAGACACATCAAACGCCCAAATACTCGACCTTACCAAGAGCGCTGCATACACTTGTATATTTCAACTTCAAGCTCATCATCAAGCGTGCTCAGAACGACCACGCTCATCGACCTTATCGGTCTCGAGATGGATCGCTACATGCTGCGTGAAATACTTCGATGGATCGGCGACAAAATAGGCGACAATTGTCGCGATCACTCCAAAGGGAATCGTAGCCAAGAAAGCAATGCGAAATGCGTACGCCCAAGCCTCTCGCGAAGCTGCCAAGCCAGCTGCAGCCATCGCTGGAGTCACGCCTTTGACAGCTAATGGCTTGCCTGCTGCCAAAGCTGCGGAAAACGCCTGTAGCTTGGCTTGCGGGAGACCGAGAGGTAGCACTGCTTTAGCGATATAACCAGAAAGCTTCTCTGCTGATTTCTCATTGATGATGATGTTCAAGGCGGTACTTCCGATGGCGCCGCCGAGGAAACGAAAAGTCCCAATGGAGCCTTGTGCGATACCCAGATCTTTCTGAGGGATATGGAGACTAGCCGTGACGTAGCACGCGACTGTGACCCAGGCAAAAGGTACAGTCGCAAAGAAATGGAAGGCCAGCGTCATGGCGGTCGTCTTAGGCGTGTCGAGCGCTGAGAGGCCGAGAAAGAGCATCTGCATGGCGACGGCGATCATCAGCTGAATGTGGACGTGCTTGAATTTGTGCACGAGAGCTCCCATCACGACACCGCCACTATGCCATGGTCAGCAGTGACATCGGCTGCAACGGTAGATGGGTCCTTACAAAACGTTGCCAGCACCTGCTGCCATCTGTAGCTCGCCCAGCTTGATCTTGTTTGTGGAGTACACGTGCAAAAGTTGTTGGGGGATTAGACTTGTCATGGCATAGTAACAAAAGCCAGTGACGAAGATACACCTGCAATCAAGTGAGCAATGAGTCCCGATTTTGGCAATTGGTCGACCAACACAATTAGAGAGGTAAACTCTCGACCCTTCTTGAACATGTAAAATGGGAACAAAGGGCGCTTGGCCACTCCACTGAATTCCCAAACGAAGCAGCCAATGAAAGCGATTCCGCCAAGCACGATAGGTGCTACAACGCCGGCTGAGTGCCATATGCGCGTATTCCCCCCTTGGTAAAGCCCGACCAGGAGTATCGTGAGGCCAACAGTGTAAAGGAAGAAGCCAACATAGTCGAGCTCTTTTAGCAATTGTCCCCGCGAGATATGCGCAACAGCATGAGGGCGAGGCGGTGGGAAGTAGAACACAGCAGTCCCAACTAGAGAAATGACAGCCGTGATGCCACCGATGATGAATATCCAGCGCCAGGTAGCATTCTGTGCCAGTGCGTGGCCAGCTAGCGATCCGAAGATTGACATGGGGACGAGGTTAAATTCGGTCCAGGCAAGGCCGACGGACCGATATCGGTTTGGTAGGATCTCAGACAACCCTGGGTATAGCACAAGGGCAGTGCCGGTGCCAAAGCCGCCAACTGCCATTGCGGCGATGAGTTGATTTAAGCTGTTTGCAGTCGCACCAATGATCTAGCAAGATCAGTTGCTTGAACCACTCGATCCAAGGAGGAGGTGAATGGGAACGTACATAGGAAACAATGAGAATCAACTGCCCAATGAGGAGAACATATCTTCGGCCAAAGATGTCCGAGATTCTTCCAGCAATCGCGAAGGCAATCGTCCCCCCTAACGTCCAGCCCGAGGACATCCATGCGGAATTGGTGGTCGTCCCTTGCACGTCCATGGCGATCACCGAGATGATTGGAAAGACACCGAGGATAGAAAAAGCCAACGCAGGCTGGAATGTGAAGCCGAGGAAGAACACTGCTGCCCAGGTCTTCCCAGGCAGTTTCTGCTTGTAGTCGTCTTCGAGAGCAGCACGGTGAGGGTCATCTTCGAGTGTGATGATCTCGACTTTGCTTAGGTCTGCTGGCGGGAAAGAGGGGTCGCCAGAAAACTCCTCGACGTGATTTGAGATAACTTCCTTTGACATGATGTATTCCAAATTGTGTAGCAGTATTGAGCGCAGGAAAATTCTGAATGTTCGCAGAGAGACTTTCACTCTCCTTTCATAGCAAGCTCCCGAACATTTTCTATAGATACTGGAAGCGCTGATCCCCCAGAATTTAGTTCTCGCTTCCACACAATCAATCTGTTTACCCCAGGTTCCGGCCAAATTTGGGCAATAACGGAGAGATACCGTGAACGGCACATCGTGACAGTCCGCTGTTAGCGCCATAGCGTCGCTTACGTAGGACCAGCGACTTCTGTTTTGGTCTTGCAATGCCTCTATCCAATCTGTGTCCTCACCTCTACAGCTTTGATTCGACGAGCGAGCCACTCCAGCAAGCAGTCCTTAATTCCGTAACGTCGCCGTCATGCCCAGAGTCCATGCTGGGGGTGACTTTTTGGCCCCAGCTTATATGGTACACTCTTCACCTGAATATCTCAATGGAATAATGCTCATCAATAAAACAGCTGGGGAAGATAGCTTTGGAGGAAGCGGTGGGAAAAGTATACCGTTTTATAGACGCATGACTGATGCTCGTGTCGTAAGATCCATATGCCAGAAACCGTAGACCAATGCAAAAAGCTTGCCCTTCCTGGGCAGGGTGATGCTTTTGCAGAGCAGATGCTAGACATACACGGCGAGAGGCTCGAGATCATGACCCAATACAATGTCGAACTCTTTGTTCTGTCACTCGCCAGTCCTGGACCCCAAGGCCAGCATGATAAGGAGAAAGCAGAGGTTAGTGTCCATTCTACCTGGCCACGCACAAGTCCAATGACCAACCGAAATGGTGTCTGCAGAGTCTTGCTCGGCGAGCCAACGACTATATGGCAAAGGAAGTTGGCAAGAATCCAAAGCGGTTTGCAGGCTTTTGCGTTCTCTCAATGCACGATCCTTGTCAAGCTGCCCAAGAGCTACGCCGTTCAGTCATCGAGCTTGGCTTGAAGGGTGCCATCATCAACGACTTCCAGTCAGCTGGGCCTGATGGCGAAACAATGCTCATGTACGACCAGCCCGAGTATGATCACTTTTGGGCCGCTGTACAGGTCTGATAAACTTGCCATTGATTCGCGAAAAGCGCATTCCGGCTGATAAGCAGGTGGAATAGGAGCTAGACACTGTCGTATATATCCATCCTCGTCTTGCGGTAGATTCCCGTGGCTCCGCGAGATGAGAGGCGCTGACGGCAGTTCACAGTCACCACACCTTCAGAAAGAGCTCTGGGATCCTCGTTGGTGGCTAAGCATAGCGTCGTTACAATTTGGTCAAGACGTACAGCGCCATATCCTTGGAATGTGCGCCAATGGTGTCTTCGACCGCTTTCCAAGCGTCAAAATTGTGATTGGACATCTCGGAGAGATGACTCCAGGGCATCTTTGGCGTATCGATCACTGGATGATCAGGCACTACAAACATAAGGGGCTGCCGATGAAGCACCCTTTCCGATACTATTTCCAAAAGAACATTTGGCTGACGACATCTGGCCATTTCTCAACTCCAGATTTGTTGAATGCCATCACTGCTGTGGGGGCGGATCGGATCATGTTCTCCATTGATCACCCGGTGAGTTTACCTTTCGAGTCAAGAAACGCGCAGTCAGGTAGGCTGATGAGCGAATTCAGTTCGAGGACATCGAAGAAGCAGCCATCTGGTGGGACAACTTGCAAATGAACCCAACGGACAAAGTCAACATGGTATGTAAATTTTCCGCGTTCCTCTGTCAAATGTGTTCCAGCGCCAACTATTGTATTCTTCAAGGGGCGTAACAATGCTATCAAGTTGCTGAAGCTTGATTTGCCTTTGTTGGGACCCGAGGCTGTAATGGATGGCTTGACAAGACAACTGTGATCCGACCAGAGACGAGACAGCCTACGAGTCACCAGTAGAGATCGCATGGGCACGGTGCCATGCGACTCGCCCAGGACAGAAAGTCGTAGCAGCTTGTTGCAAATCTTCCCACACTGGCCCACCTAATGTATTGTCCCTGCCGAGGCCGAGAGCTGAGGCTTCCTTCCTTCATGGTAGCCTAGATCCGTCTTCCGAATTTGTTTCGGTAGTCTACCCCAATGAACGGCAAGCCCGGCTTGCAGGCACTGAGGTCTCTCATCACCCTCTCTCACAGCGCTTCGTCTTCTCAGTCGATCCAACACCCGAATATATACAGTCCCATCTCTTCACGCTAAACCAGGAGGTGCGCGGCGTACTACCCGATGTCGCCATGGCGTAGACCCGTTGGGGAAATCGTGAGGACGTAGGTAGCTCAGGTTGTGGGCACTTGGAGCAGCTTCGCTCTCGAGCGGGAATGGACTTCGTGAGGCTGGCCTCAACGCTCTTGATAGCGGCTCTGGCTGAATTTAGAGGTACGAGTAGGCGTAACGACTAACGAAAGGGCGGAGTGTGGTGTTAAGAAAAGTAGAAAGATTCAATACTGAAACTTGTTGACCCGTATTTCCAAGCTCCTCAGCCCGGGATACTATTACTCTAGCGTGTGCACAAAGGTCTGCAGTTCTTGGCGCTGGAATTTCCTACCCCTTTATCTTCTGTTGCGACTCATCTCAACTACAACAAACAATGAGACAAAATTCGCATCATAGCTTCAGTCATGATCATGAAACAGAAAGATGTTCGATTCATTAGATTTGATAATGAATTGCGGATCACGAAAGCTATTATTTGTTGAAATATCTACACTTGTATCATGGAAAAAAAAGTCAAGATATTTGCGCGATTGTCATTTTCATGTTTCACTTTATTTCAATTGCAAAAATTTGAGAAACTACCGACAGGCATGTGATGCACCAAGACGAATATTGCTACGAATTATAGATTCGGTTAATGCTAGCAGAAAGCTCGCACATCTGATTATCGAATTGCTACCGCCAAAAAAGTGGCGCGCCTTTTAAATACCATCTAGATGTGTACAAACTTCACCGGTAGCTTGCCCGACTTTGTCGGAGTCAAAAAGCCGCCTTGCTGCTCTATTGCTCCACCGTCCCCATCGACCATGATGGTCCCAAAAGATATAAAAGTAGCAGCCACTACCGCTTTGATTTCGGCAACCGCATCAAACTCTCCGTCAGCAATGCAGGTTCTCGGTAAAGTGTCTCCTGGAATAGGAGTAAACAACCCGCAGGAGAGGGACTGGTACATACGCAAAGTAGCGAAATGCTGTCCTAAACAGCCTCTTCCTCCACCACCAAATTGCCACATCCATCTTCTCATCTCTTTTCCCATTTTTCACCAGCCTCGAGCAACCGATCAGGTCGCCACTCGCCCGGTGCCGTGCGCACGATAGGTCCATGCTTCTTGTGGGCCCTGTCCACAGCTTCGTTCGCTTGATGATAGTACCTCTGCCAAAGAATCCACGCTGGAGTGAGAGCCGCAGAGGGATGTGCTTGAGGAATGGCAGCGAGTGGACTGATGAAAAGAGGATGAATGATCCACTTGTAGACAGCGTAGCAGAATATCAAGAGTACTGCGAGGTGCCACATATGCGCATTGTCGAACATTGCCATGATTATAAACACGCAGAAATCGAGAAAGTCTCATGGTAGGGATACCAAAGAAGAAGGTCTTTAGAAGATGAAAAGATTGCAGCTTTCTACCTCCATTCAACGCAAATATCTGTCTAGAATAAGTGTAAATCTATAGGAAGTACACTCGCGTCCGAACATCTCCTCGTTCAGATCATGATGCAACTAATACAGGGACATTCCCAGGATACAGAGCTTGGAAAGCGTATGAAGGGCACTAGAGTCAAAGATCTGTCTTTCTCCTATGGGCCACAGACGAGGGTACGTGCCAGGGACCAATCAGCAGCGAGCGCATGAGGGCAAAACTGGGGACGGGAGCCAATGCAGAGACCGTTGCATGAAACCTCGAACACTGTACAAGATCTCATAGTGCGGCGATGGTCTGACTCCTCAATCCAGGCGTTGCCAGTGCATCGTGCTATGACTTGAAATGTCCGTAGTGGTCTATATGCCGCGGAAATTGCTGTCAAAAGACCCACGTTACCAACGACTTGAGTAAACCAGATTGTGCACAAAAGCTTCTTTCGGGGGACAAAAGTACGTGCAGACATGTTATCGAGGTACCACAGTCGCTCCCAAAGCGTAGGTAGGTACTTGAAATGATGAGACTTGAGCTGTCAAAAGTAGGAGAAAATGCTCTCGGCTAAAAGTTTTGGTAGCTGTTCTAGGCTCAGACGAGTTTTGGCGTGTTTCCCCACAATCTCTTCCCCGCATGGCGTACCGCATCCGGCTAGCTGCCCCTCGCCGCCCTCCGCTTCCTGCTACCCTCCACTGTCTTGCAAGCTGTTCAATGAGAAGCCTGAATATTTTCTTCACTGGGCAATCAAAACTCTTGGAACCTAGGGAAACATTCCTATGAAGCGATGGCGACAGTTCTAGTGTTGTTGTGCACATGAAACTCCCTTCGGAGCGGGTGGGTGGGAAAACAGTGGATAAAATAAAAACCCGCTACACCATTGTACCAGGCCAATAGGAATCGAACCTATTTTATAGAGCCGTTCTGAAATTTACCGATCAATAATACCGTTAGGCCGACTCCGCATTTCAGGTGCTAAAAACGACAAGTGAGAAGGCCTCGTAAAGCGGCGCTGAGACCGTGTCAAATCGGACGCCTTCTCACCTGCACACAAAGTACTTTATCCGCGTCTCCCAGCTCTCCCCCGCACCTCCGATCTTTGACTGGGCCGGCTCTACTTTCTGACCTGCATTCTCTCAGCCGCCATGCAGGTGAAATGCTCGACTCAGATAAGATCCCCGGACAATCATAATGGCTCGTTCACCTCAGTCTCCGGGCGATGTCAATGGCGACGGGACCGGATCCAAGGGCAAGGGCAAAGAGGTCCGCAAGTATGGCTTCGCCTGCGCCAATTGCAGGAAACGGAAGGCCAAATGTGACGGTGGAATACCCAGCTGTGAGAGGTGTCTCTCCAACGGCGAGACATGTTACTTCAACAAGTGCGGGCCTCTTACCGCTTGCGCTTGCAACACTGACCTGGCGCCTTATAGAGTACCCTCCGTTACCTACTCTCTGGCTCTGCAAGCCCGCGTCGATACCTGCGAATCGCTTCTGAAATGCCTACATATCGCAAGTGAGGAGGAGCGGTCCCGTTTGTTGGAGGAACACTTCTCTGGTAGTGGAGACAGGAGTGGTAATGGGAAAAGGAAAAGAGTTGGCAATACAGAGGACCGACAGGATAGAAGCGCCACGACGGAAGTCTCCTCTTCAGAAAATGAACTCACTGAGATACTGAATGAAACCTCGGTGGACGAAGATGGCCGCATTTGCTTCTACGGAACGACCAGTTCTTTCCACCTGCAACCGGACAAGGTCCTGCGCTCACAGATTGGCGAGCGACCAGACACGGTACGTACATGAGTAAACTGCCCGTTGCGCACCCTGCCAATTGTGCCATATCCTTGGGATTCTAGCACTAAGAAGGAGATGCTGATCAGAACGTCTACGTAGGATCTAGTACTCTCGAACGACATCGCACCCTGGGAGCGTACATTCCAGTGGCAGAACAACCTCAGCTTGGGTATGTATACTGTGGAGCTGTCCCTTTCCATTGGTTTCGTTAGACTGGAGCCGGGAGATGCTTTTGGGAATAAGACATGTTGTATGCCACACCATCGCTCTCGGCTCAGGTCTTTGTACTAGATTTTTGGTTTCGAAGGGAGTTACTGAGCTGAAAATTGATTAGATACGCCCAGTCCATCCCTCAGTACCAGCGCTCAAACCGACATCGGGATGTACTTGAACTCAGATGTCGACTCTCAGCTGTGCAACGAGCTGTTGGAAACATACTGGTGCTGGCCTCATCACCTACATCTAGTACTATGCCGGAAGATCTTTATGCGGGATTTGACGAGCTCAGGACCTTACGTGACCCCCTTCTTACTCAACGCCGTCCTCGCACAAGCCGCGCGCTACTCAGATCGCCCTGAAGCTTCCAAGTTGGGTCAAACCTTTGCTCAGCGAACTTTAGATACACTGGCAGTAGAGGTAGATAAAGGAAGCTCTATTCCTACTATACAAGGCCTCTTGATATTTTCTGCGCGGGAATGCGCTTGTGGTCGGACGTCGCAAGGCTGGCTTTACTCAGGAATGGCTTTCCGTATGATGCGAGACATGGGAATTCATATACCACCAAGAAAGCTCAGTCACTTGGGAGGCCATTTCTCCCCAGCAGAGCTTGCCTTGAGACAACAGGTGTTCTGGAGCTGCTATACTTGGGATAAGACCATGAGTCTATGCCTGGGACGTGCTCCGGCAATGCACGATATCATCCCACCGCCAACTAACGATATCTTATTAGACGGCGAAGAAGCAGAAAATGAGGCTTGGCGGCCGAGATTTGCAACACTATCGGCATTAGAAGTAGGTGTGACGCAAAAGGCGAGGTCGAACAGTCGATTTGTCGCCTACTGTCAGCTATGCGTGATCATTGATGAGGTGCTGGCGACCCTTTACAGCAAGCCACACTCTGCGCAGAACCATCTACAGGGCTTTCTTGACAGGTCAATCGAGAAACTCGAAAGCTGGGCGCGAGAGCTATCAACGAATCTTTACGTGCGAGAAGATTCACGATCTGTATCGTGTCCACCTCTGCATATCCTTCTGCTGAATCTCTTGTATCATGCTACCATCATACTGCTATGTCGCCCTTACCGTTCCAAACAGCAACGCGCCCGAAAAATGGCTACGACGGCCGCAGAAATGATCGATAGGCTGTTCATGCTCCACATTCGCCGTTTCGGCTTCCGAGTCATTACATATCTTGAAAGCTATACTATGTTCGTGGCTAGTACTATCAACATTCTAGATTTGAAAGAGGGCGTAGACGAAGAAGGAGCAGGTGCCCGGCTCGCTTTGAGCCTAGAGATTCTTCGAAACGCCACGAGTACTCCGTCTAATGCCAGGTGCGTCGAAATTATCGAACAGCTACTCCGTCAAGAGGAAAAGCCGAAGGACGACGATCGCCTCGTACAGACTCCGGAGCGGCCAGTACCCTCCAATGCAGAACAAATACAGGAGCAGAATCAGAGCAGACGCCGTTCGAGTGCCCGTGGTTCAACACAGACACCTGTTCCACAATTTGGGTTCGATCCCCAAGCGCCTGGCCCTTCACAAGGTGTTGACGAGTATGCATACATGAATCTGGGCGGGGAATTCCCGCAACTGTACGACCAAACA